GTTTCGGAGGCAGTGTGCAAGCGTGATTGACATAACGTGAGGTCGTATTTATTTTTTAACGTGCAGAAATTTCAGATGTGAATTTCGGACTCAGTGTGCAATGGCCTTAAAGTGCTGTTTGATGAGTTGTTTAACGACGTGCTGAGATCTTGAGACTTCATATCTTGTCATATCAGTTGATTTAGCTTAGACCTTGGTGAAGGGTATAATTGCTGATCTTTGTAACTGTAACAGAGCGGCCTACGAACTCCTTGTGAGTCTTGAAGCTAACTTTTGCATGATGAAACTACAAACTATCTTCAGTAAATCTTTCATTAATTTATTATAATTCTGACTCTTGTCTTAAATTGACTGACTAACTCCCTGGTTTTAATTAATCATATCTGGTCCTTGGGTCTTTAACTGTATACAGTGGTAATCTATATTGCAACAAGGTGAGCACAACCATTGGGCATCTTTCCAGGTAGCTTGTCTGGTGATAATCCAAGGCATGGTACCAATATTTTGCACTGTTGCTGAAAACTGTGCTGAAAACAATATTTTCATTCAAACACACACATTTATTTCACTTCACTTCACTAAAATAAAATATAGTAAAGTAAAAATGACGTGACAAAACAATCAGTTAAAGGGTTTATGATAATATAAGAACAACTTAAACCAAGAGAGTATCAACAACAGCAGAATTATGAAGAGGTGATATTGAAATATTACTCTAACCATGAGGAATTAATTACAACTTTTATGTATAATCACAGTTGTATTCCATGGACAATTAGAAAGATAATACAAATAAAACAGTGTTTACATCAACAGTGACTTTCTACGTTACTTTGGTTGAATTTGAAGTTGAATTTGGAGGGGGGAGAAAGATCATAAAAGTAAATGTCATGTAAGGACAAAGTTTGTTGGCTGGTGGCTATATCAGCACATGTGACTTAATATGTGAAAATATTGACCATGAAGGACAACTACACTACATACAGATTGACAGGAGAGTCAGTGTCAGAAAAGATGATGCCAACAGCATCCTCTGAACAAACCATTATTTTGGATAACCTTGCATACAAAAAATATACCGGACTCGGACTTGTGCAATCAGACCCTTTTATTCCTGCTGTACAAGAAGCAAAAATTACATGTTGGTCATAAAATTCTGCACTGTACAGTATCTGTGATGCCTTCTTGATCTTGCTGTACATTATCTGTCAGATTTGCTGCAACAACGTGAACAGGTTCATTCACTACAACCTTAAACAAACAAAACCCCTTTAAGTGAATTACAGTATTGCATTAATATGTAATACAGTATTATTAAGTATTGTCAAAATTTCACGTGTATTAAGTCAGTCTGGTCACTAGGAAAGCACTACACCCTTTGAAACATGAAAATAATGATTTAGGGAAATTAGAGTATTTTTTAAAATAAACATTTGATAATTGTATGTACAGTATTGTAGGTATTGTCAAAATTTCACCTGTAGTAAGTCAGTCAGGTCACTAGGAAAGCACTACACCCTTTGGAACACTAAAAAATACTTAGTCAATTACAGTAATTTTTCATAAACCTATTTGATAATAGTATATACAGTAAGGGAGTTATTGTCAAAATTTCACCTGAACTAAGTCAGTCTGGTCACTAGGAGAGTACTACACCTTTTGAAACATCAAAAAATACTTACGGTGATTTACAGTAATTTTTTCATAAACATAATTGACAATAGTACACATACAGTAAGGGAGATATTGTCAAAATGTCACCTGTAGTAAGTCACACTGGTCATTAGGAAAGTACTACAACATTTGGAACGTGGAAAAATAGTTACAGTCATTTACAGTTAATTTTTCATAAACATATTTGACAATAGCACGTACAGTATGGGAGTTATTGTCAAAATTTCACCTGTAGTAAGTCAGTCAGGTCACTATAAAGCACTACAGCCTTTGAAACACGAAAATAATACTTTAGGGGAATTACAGTAATTTTTTCTTGAACTTATTAGTTTATTGTACGTACAGTAAGGGAGTTATTGTCAAAATGTCACCTGTAGTAAGTCAGTCTGATCACTAGGAAAGCACTACAGCCTTTGGAATATAAATATAAATATTAAAAAACACTATAGGTGAATTAAAGTTTATTACATAAACATATGTAATAAACACACGTAATAATGTTTATTACATAAATATATTTGATAATTGTACAGTAAGGGAGTTGTCGTCAAAATTTCACCTGTAGTAAGTCAGTCTGATCACTAAGAAAGGACTACAGCCTTTGAAACAGGAAAAAATGCTTTAGGGGAATTACAGTTATTTTTTCTTCAACTTATTAGTTTATTGTACGTACAGTAAGGGAGTTATTGTCAAAATTTCACCTGTAGTAAGTCAGTCTGATCACTAGGAAAGGACTACAGCATTTGAAACAGGAAAAAATACTTTAGGGGAATTACAGTAATTTTTTCTTCAACTTATTAGTTTATTGTACGTACAGTAAGGGAGTTATTGTCAAAATTTCACCTGTAGTAAGTCAATCTGGTAACTAGGAAAGCACTACAGCCTTTGAAACAAGAAAGAATACTTTAGGGGAATTACAGTAATTTTTTCTTCAACTTATTAGTTTATTGTACGTACAGTAAGGGAGTTATTGTCAAAATTTCACCTGTAGTAAGTCAGTCTGATAACTAGGAAAGCACTACAGCCTTTGAAACAAGAAAAAATACTTTAGGAGAATTACAGTAATTTTTTCTTCAACTTATTAGTTTATTGTACGTACAGTAAGGGAGTTATTGTCAAAATTTCACCTGTAGTAAGTCAGTCTGATCACTAGGAAAGGACTACAGCATTTGAAACAGGAAAAAATACTTTAGGGGAATTACAGTAATTTTTTCTTCAACTTATTAGTTTATTGTACGTACAGTAAGGGAGTTATTGTCAAAATTTCACCTGTAGTAAGTCAGTCTGATCACTAGGAAAGGACTACAGCATTTGAAACAGGAAAAAATACTTTAGGGGAATTACAGTAATTTTTTCTTCAACTTATTAGTTTATTGTACGTACAGTAAGGGAGTTATTGTCAAAATTTCACCTGTAGTAAGTCAGTCTGATCACTAGGAAAGGACTACAGCATTTGAAACAGGAAAAAATACTTTAGGGGAATTACAGTAATTTTTTCTTCAACTTATTAGTTTATTGTACATACAGTAAGGAAGTTATTGTCAAAATTTCACCTGTAGTAAGTCAGTCTGATCAGTAGGAAAGGACTACAGCATTTGAAACAGGAAAAAAATACTTAAGGGGAATTACAGTAATTTTTTCTTCAACTTATTAGTTTATTGTACGTACAGTAAGGGAGTTATTGTCAAAATTTCACCTGTAGTAAGTCAGTCTGATCAGTAGGAAAGGACTACAGCATTTGAAACAGGAAAAAATACTTTAGGGGAATTACAGTAATTTTTTCTTCAACTTATTAGTTTATTGTACGTACAGTAAGGGAGTTATTGTCAAAATTTCACCTGTAGTAAGTCAGTCTGATAACTAGGAAAGCACTACAGCCTTTGAAACAAGAAAAAATACTTTAGGAGAATTACAGTATTTTTTTCTTCAACTAATTAGTTTATTGTACGTACAGTAAGGGAGTTATTGTCAAAATTTCACCTGTAGTAAGTCAGTCTGATCACTAGGAAAGGACTACAGCCTTTGAAACAGGAAAAAATGCTTTAGGGGAATTACAGTAATTTTTTCTGGAACTTATTAGTTTATTGTACGTACAGTAAGGGAGTTATTGTCAAAATTTCACCTGAAGTAAGTCAGTCTGATCACTAGGAAAGCACTACAGCCTTTGGAATATAAATATAAAAAAACACTATAGGTGAATTAAAGTTTATTACATAAACATATGTAATAAACACATGTAATAATGTTTATTACATAAATATATTTGATAATTGTACAGTAAGGGAGTTATTGTCAAAATTTCACCTCTAGTAAGTCAGTCTGATCACTAGGAAAGCACTACAGCCTTTGGAACAGGAAAAAATACTTTAGGGGAATTACTGTAATTTTTTTTATTAATATTTGTATACTGAACGGGAGGTACTGTCAAAATTCCACCTGTAGTAAGTCAGTCTGGTCAGTAGGAACATACTACAACCTTTGGAACATGACAAATAACATTGTTTTAATATTTTAATCTCCTCAAAACGAGCTTTCCTTCGGGTTTGCACTTTGCAGATGGTCCCTTCTTAGCAGCCTGCGCATAGAGATCAATGTATTTTGTCCAGTGCGAAGGAAAGATCGTTTTGAGGAAATTTATGTTGTAGCTTCTGGTGTTTTATCTGTAGTTATATGTGATAGGTGTTGTGTGTAGCAACAACGTTTAGTTCACGAGTTATTGAACGCGGAAGTCCGCGAATGTGTGAATATGCGAATATAAAACCAACTTTACCTAAGTCACTTGATCTAGACCAAAGTATATGTCAGTACTGTGTCTAAAAATGTAAATTACACAAAAATAACTTCTTGGCTGTATAGAATCCATATCACACTCACAAATAGGCACAGGGAGTTTTCAAGCACACATACACAAAAGAACAATTAATAATAACAAAAATTGTCAACGATGTAACGATGACCTAGTTAACACAGTTTAAGCAACAAGCAACAGAGTAGGCGTTAATAAACAAATCCAGGGGAGGGTTTGATGAAGTGAAGGACTGCATGTTTATGCCGACACAGCAGAATAACAGACAGGAGCGTGAGCAAACTAAATATCGGTCGCATCTAAAAATATCAGAAAGAGTAAAGGCAACATTGTGTCTGCAGTGCGTTACAAATCACTGCATAGAACAAAAATCACAACCTCAGCATCCTTAGTGCAAATCCCATAGACTTATTATCAATGTGTACGTTTGTGTGGAGAATGAGGGCATGTATTGAAATGCAATAGATGGTGAGCACGCTTCCATTTCTAATTACTACAATATAACCAATTATGCACTTACCCAGACGATAGCCTAAAGTCCTGTCTTTATGTTCTCCATGGTAGCCTACACAACCCAATTCCTAAGATTTCCGTGGTGGTGTAAAGTACAGCAGATGAACAGGGATCGGCGAGTAAAACGCGTTTTCAGCAGGATATCATTCACTGCTCCGAGCGGCTGGCTGATGATGATGATGATGATGATGGCGCAGCGGCAGCATAATGAAACTCAATGGCGCTGCGTTTTGATTGACAGCTCCTTCAGCCAAAAGAATGCTCTGGATCGCGTTCAACATGAGCTCGAGCATTTCATTGGCTGAGGAAGCTGTCGATCAGCCCCACCCGGGGGTTTGTAAACACGGTACGCGCAGGACTGAACCATACACGCCGGCCGACTGACACGCGAGTCTTTTTTATGACTCCTCGTTGATGGTTTTCATGTCAGTTAAAAGAAGTGTTAAAAGAATTTACAAAGAATGGTGGATCGAAAACGAAAGGAATTGTATCAAATGAGGTCACCTCCTCTCCCGTAAGCCTCCTTCTGCGACAAAGTCCAAGCATGTATCTGCTAATGCATTAATGCCTAAACTGTAGGGGTACTGCAGCATCCCCTGTCTTCACGGGATTGTAAATGCAACGCAAATTTTTGGTCATTTACATTTAATCATTTTTAGCATTTAGTAATTTATTTGTTATAAAACTCTTTAAGTGAACTTTTAAACATGTTACTTATATTGAAATATGCTTTTCTTTTTTACATGCAGAGTGTGACTTCATATTGTGACAGTTACATTTCAAATTATTCTCCACATTTTATGACTAAATACAGATGATATTGATACAAGAGGTTCATGTTGCCAAGTTCACACAGAAACTGTCTAACATTTATTTTGATCATGTTTCTATACTGAACAACTTTGGAAACAATATTTTTGGATACTTTGATTCTGACCCTACTAAAAATAATGATTGCTTTGTTATAAACTTAATTTATCTTCTTTGTGAATTTTATATCCATAAATGTAAGTTTACCAACAACAAACCATTTGTTTGTCTTTTGGAGATAATTTAAAATGTATCTTAATACTATTACTATTCAGTAAATAAGAAAGCAAGTAGAACATCTTCAATTTGTAAGGACACTGTAATTGATGTATAGATTAATGTTCCCCTCACGTTCTTTTTCTCTTTCTTCTCTTATTTTTCTTTTGTTATTTTTCTGTTTTCTGCTCATCTTTGTTAACTCTTCTTTTCTCATGTGTATTCTGATGACACATTGTTAATACATATTGTATACAATCATAAACGTCATCTCTGTATTTTTAGCAATCATTTATAAAAATTAAAATAATTCGTCCACTCTCCTGAGCCCAAGTCCTCGTGTTGTGTAAGGTAGGGAGTTTTTTTGTGTGTTCATTTTTATTTCCTGTTGCTGTGTGGGCTCTTTTATTGTATATGTGTGTAAACAGCTCAATAACCCTTTTGTTTAAAGGCTTAATTTATGTCATGTAGACCGGTCAGTTGCATTACGATTGCAAGTAGTATCAATAATGTCAACAGTGTGATGCGCAGTCAAATGACCCAGTCTGTATACTGTTAAAACGAGTTTTCTCACCAATACACTTGTTGTACGTGCTTCATGGAGTTTTTACGACTCAATATTGTGTTTTATTCAAATGTGGTGAACATAAAAAAAACACAGAACCCCCAACCTAAAACATTTTCCAGCGCCCCTGCTAATCTTGCTTTTAAAACTGTAGCTGCAATTATTATAAGAAAAAGAATGTTATCATTCTTTGGTGTTGACACCAATAGCTATAGGCTAGTTATTGTTATTTATTATTTTTTTCTTGGTGTGAGAGGGACTTTACTGTGTAGCTTCCACAGAGGCCACTATTAAGCTTGTTTTAAATGGCAAGGACTTCTAGAGTAGCGCAGTTTCCTTAGTAATGGAACGATATTATGAAAATGCTAAATATGTTTATTGTGTTGAAATTATTATAAAATCAGTAAAGCAGGAGGCTGTGCTATTGTCATGAAACAGGAGAAGAGACACGGAGGCAAACATAACAGTTCTTCATTCACAGGTTGCTTGCGATCTATAGGATAGTCAAACAGGTGAGGGAAGAGCAGCAGTTCAAACGATAGTCACACTTAACTGACAAGTCTTTCTTCTTGTAGGATGGAAGATGAACACGATGAGGATATCTGGTTGGAAGGAACATGTAGAAAGTTTGTATTGGTTGGTATGAGTCAATGATCGCACCGAATGTAAATGACTGCATTTAATCCGAACATTAGATAACTGCCAGCCGATACAGACCAGATATAAGTGAACAAGGCCACCGGGCATTCTGACTGGATGAGACGACATACTACGGTGGCTTGTAATAAACAAACTGCATAATCATTTAACCAAACGCCTACAGAACAAGTATCTTGAAGAGGACGATGAAGGTAGGTACATGAAGGTGAGTAGTCGGGTAAGTTCACTCTCATGTAGAGACTGACGCCTTGTCCAAATACCCACTTGCGGTCTTTGCACTTGACCACTTGTCTACTTGCATGACATATTTCCTCTATGTGGCCCAAGTGTTCAAGTAGGCGTAAAGACTGCTAGTGTGTGTAGAACTTTTGATCACCCGATGGGACACTCTTAGGGTGTACTCACACTAGGCACGGTTGCCATGAACCGGGCCCGAGTACGATTGTCCCCCCTCCCCACTCCCCCTCTGGCCTGCACTCACATAGGGTTTCAGCATTCGTGCCGGAGCACGCTTACGTCATTATGGTGCGTGCGACGGTTTCGGGATAAACAAGAAGAGCGGCGCTCTCTGAACACAATGAAGTCCATCGCTCTGTTTTCTTTGTGGATAATTTTGTGTCGTTTGGTCCACGGTGGTCCACAGCCTGTTGTTAAACAGATGCGTCGCCTTAGTGGCGCGAAAATTTTCACGTAATCGTGCTGCTCGTATGAGGAGGTTTGCAAGGTACCAGCTGAAGTGCAGCAAGGACTTTGCAGCTTTGATTACGGACTGTGTTGGTTTTGGAGCGTCGCAAAACCATGACGCCACGCGTCCTGTTCCGTGCTCCAGCACGGTTAGCGCTCACACTGCATGCGAACCGCGCCCGAGTCCAACTGAACCGTGCTCTGGCCCACCTCTTCCAAGCGGGCCAGGGCCGGCTAATCGAGCCGCGCCCGGGCACGGTTCGGAGCACTCACACTAGTCAAACGAACCGCGCTTTGGTGGTCAAACGCACTCGGGCACGGTTCAAACTGGCTAGTGTGAGTACACCCTTAGGGCGCTTTCACACTTGGTTCGATTGCCTGTTCCGAGCCCGAGTTCGATTGCTCCCCACTCCCCCTGCCCCCAATGGACTGTGTTCACATTATAATATTTGTATCCAAAACGCGGTACGCTTGCGTCATCAAGCTGCAGCTGGCACGTAATCATGTTGCTTGGTAACCGGCGCCGTTATGAATGAAAAGGCGTCAAAATGGATAAAATTACTCGCTTCACATTTGTTCTTCTTTTTTTTTAACCTTTAGTTTTGTTTTCAAAGAAAAGATACAGAAACACACTTGCGTCTGTCTGCCGCAAAAGTACTAAAATCGTTCCAAAGACAGCTGGCTGTCCGCTGAAGACAATTTTTGCGGAGGAAAGCATAAATCATCTCTTTGCTTGCAGTGCGTTAATCCCGTTTTTCGTCAAGGTAAGTGTATGCACACACACACACACACACACACACGCACTGACGACTGTCCTGTCGACCACATTATACATTATACGTCATCAATAGCGGTTCACTTCCGCGTTTTGGTACGATTGCGTTCATATCAGCAGCGAACCGTACTAGAGTTCACATGATCCGTACCCCAGACCACCCTTTTTAAGCGGACTCGAGTACGGTTTCGTGGGTGCGAGTTCGGAATCCAAACTAACCGAATTCTGACATCATTCGAACCCGGGTGTGCACCAAAAGTTCTAGTGTGAAAGCGCCCTAATAGTCTTGCAAAAAATGCAAGTGTTTACAGAACTTTTATTTATTATATTTTCAATACTTTGCATCATTAAAGGAGAACTCCGGTGCAAAATGAACCTCGGGTGTAATAACACATTGGTACAGACTAAATCGTTCCCTGAGATTTGTTTTCATGATAATCGAATGTAAAGAGTTTTATCTCTAAAAACAGTTTAGCTTATAACGCTAGTATATTGGGCATCGAGTAAGCAAAAAGAGATCGCTAGTTAATACCATTAACAAGGCTCAAATTAGCCCCACACTAACACGCAGCATAATGAGTGTCCTTACATGCAAACCGAAGCATTGAGAACTTTGTAAGTGTATAGACAGTTTAATAAGAAGATACTTTACACAGACAGTACAGTTAGCGCATACAGACAGGAGCCATCTTGGAAAACAGTCTCGATCAGTCAAACCACGAACACGGTGATACGTGAGCTGAACTGTGACTTGGAATCTCATATGGTCCGTTGTTTCCGGAAGAAAGCACTGAGCGCATAAGAGAAGCACTGAACGCAACAGAGAAAATAAAAAAATAAATATAATTTATCTTATCTTCAATATCTACACGTACTGTTCGCTCACCTTCGTGGTTCGACTGATCGAGACTGTTTTCCAAGATGGCTCCTGTCTGTATGCGCTAACTGTACTGTCTGTGTAAAGTATCTTCTTATTAAACTGTCTATACACTTACAAAGTTCTCAATGCTTCGGTTTGCATGTAAGGACACTCATTATGCTGCCGTGTTAGTGTGGGGCTAATTTGAGCCTTGTTAATGGTATTAACTAGCGATCTCTTTTTGCTTACTCGATGCCCAATATACTAGCGTTATAAGCTAAACTGTTTTTAGAGATAAAACTCTTTATATTTGATTATCATGAAAACAAATCTCAGGGAACGATTTAGTCTGTACCAATGTGTTATTACACCCGAGGTTCATTTTGCGCCGGAGTTCTCCTTTAAATAAACTTCTACATGTCTGTTCAGTAGTCGCTATGTAACTAACAGAAGACACAAATTTAAAATTGTGGTGCTTCTAATTAAGTGATAAATATAGTTGCAAATGTTGTACAAAATAGGCCTACACATAATCATCTTTGCACCAATAAAATGTGCAACACTTGTTAACACAAAACATGTGTTTACTACCAAATTATATGTATCTAATTAATTTAAATTACAGTGGAATGTTT